CCATGACAGAGTCTCGTCCTGACAATATATATTGCTAAAAGAGACTGTTCAGAGGCAGGCATTGTGTTACAGGGAAGGTAAATAAATGGGTGGAAATCCGCTTTAATCATCCAAGTAAAATGTGAATTCAAACTATTCAAATTGCGTATCCAGTAAGTTTGTGTCAATTTGTTTTATAATTAGTTTTTTAAATTTGTTTTTATGTCATGACTCTTATGATTTTATATGTGGCTTTTTATGGCTCAGGAGGGGATATATATGTCAAACTAAGAATAGCAATGGACATACAGGGGAGTGTGTTATACTTACATAGATAAAGCAAGTGTGATACACAGACTGTGCTGTTTGGTTTTAACAGCTGGATTGGCATATACTAGCTTGGCAAGAGTACTGTCAACTGTTATCGCAGGGATATTTTACCACATTCCGCCCAGCTTATTGTAAAAAAAACGGCCGAATCTGAACACTTTTATCCCAAGAGGACATCCCTGATCAGGTACACGCAAATTTAAGGTTTGACATATTGGGTATCTATTTACTTGGTGCAACCTCATCTTTTATATTTTGCAAAAAAAAACCCATGTGTTATTTATTCTGTTTCTGTGCTCTAAAATTAAAGAATAAATCTGGGCAAAATTATTATTTTCGCATGCAGTGGGGCTGTCCTTGCACTGCATGGGTTAAATACTCATTTTTGTCTAGGGGCTCAGAAAAATAAAAATATACTTACCTAATTGACAGATCCCCTGAGTGCAAGACCGGTCCCCACTGCTCCTGCAACCCCCCCCCCCCCCCCGCAAGCTAGAAGTTTTGTGAATGGGATGTTCCTGGCATAATCACGCTCATGGACCAGCTCCGGACATGAGGACAGTACGAACAGTCCACTGCTGGATGTGGGGAGTGTGGTTTTGCAGAGGGTCAGAGGACAGGGTAAGTATAGCTTTTCCCTGAGCCCCTGGACAAATGAACACTTAACCCATGCAGTGCAGGTGCAGTCCCACTGCATGGGAAAATAAAGTTTTTAACCAGAGTTCTGCTTTAACTTTAGTGCATTTTTAAAAAATTGGAACTACCACTATTTTATTCTCGAGGGAGTCTGGATTCAGAAAAAATATATAATGTTTGGGGGGTTTATGCAATCTTCAGGTCTAAAAAAAAATAACATAGCGTATACAGTTGCAACACAAGTCATATTGTAATTGGATGTTATTAAAAAGGACCTTTCCATTTCAATGTGCAGCTCTGTAATTTTCTGTAAAATGCAATGCACAAAGGCAACCTGGAAGGGCTCTGCACACGAAGTTTGTAGGTCTTTAGCTATTGACTCTACAGACAGTTGGCGACTTCTGTGCACTGTGTGCTTCAGCATGCACTGACCCCGCTCTGTCATTTTACGTGGCCTACCACTTCATGGCTGAGTTGCTGTTCCCAGTTTCTTCCACTTTTTTATAATTACACTTGATCAACAGTTGATCGTGGAATATTTAGTAGCAAGGAACGGCCTGCAGCACGAATAGATTTATTGCACAGGTGGCAACCTATCACGGTACCACACTTGAATTCACTGAGCTCCTGAGAGCGACCCATTCTTTCACAAATGTTTGTAGAAGCAGTCTGCATACCTAGGTGCTTGATGTTATACACCTGTGGCCATGGAGGTGATTGGAACACCTGAATACAATTTTTTGGACGGGACTCCCAATACCTTTGGCAATATAGTGTATAAATGCATCACTGACTTTAAATGGTATAATTCATACAGTGCATTGACCCCTGGTTCACATATATGCAGCCGTGCGGGCCACGTTTTGCACGGGCATGAGTCCATTTGAATGGACTCCCGTGCCCGTGACACGCAGAGAAGAAGTCCCTGCACTTCTTTGGAAAACGCAGCCCTCATGGGAACCTCGGTTCCCAGTACGGTTGCATTTTCCAGTGCGAGTGGCGTGCCATTAGAACTAATGACACTCGCCCGCGGGTCAGCATTTTCTCTGTTAGGGTGGTGCGGCTGCACAGATTTTCGTGCAGATCCGCAACGACACCGCCCACACAGATGTGAACCTCACCTTACTTTCATTTAGGTGTATTCAGTTTAATTGCGATGACATATTTTAAAAAATCTGTGTATCGGATCTGTGGGGCAAATTGTTGGAGAATGGTACTGATTTGGGGACTAAAAATAGCAGTGCCTTGTTGCCACTTTAAAATGACTGACTTTTCGGTTTTGTTGTGGCTTGCAATTCTATGCTGCTGAATCCAAATACTGAGTTTGACCTATAACTTTGCTAAGGGTCCAACACTTCTGCAAGGGATATTACAATAGTAACTTACCCTTGTGGCACTGGATAAATTAAAGCAGAGTTTTTTGGTTGTAAACCTCTGACATAAAATATGAACAAAGCATATCCCTCTAAAGTTTGTACTTGTCTCAATCCAAAGTCCTGAGGACTATGTGTCATTTCTGCCTGCTGCCTCATTCCTTTTCGATCTCAATTTTGGCAGGTTTTCCTGACACCAAGAGATAAAAGGTGACAGGGTAGGAGGCTCCAGAACACAGCCTGTGTGTTGTGTGAAGGAGGGGGGGGGGGTCCTCTAATCAGTTCCCACTGAGATCTACAGAGTGTAATTTCAGCTGCTCGCCCCCTGCTATCTGAAAGCTTAGACAAGCTGTAAAACTTCTGCATTTTGAACAGCTGTGAAGAAGAGATGGCTGCAGATAAACAGGTACATGGATTCGTTTCATCTCTGTGTATTACCTGAGGCTAGTCACTTCACTGAGTATATGTAAGGGTTTACAATCACTTTAACCATTTAAGGACCGCCCTATAGCAGATATACTGTTACAGGGTGGCCGCACTGTCTAAAATCACGTATATATACGTGATTTTGCATCTTCAAGTAGGGGGCGCACATGCTGCCCTTCCCACACTGTCATTGGTTCCCAGAGATGTCAGTCACCAGCGATTCATGGCCGGGACTTAGTGATCACCGGCAGAGAAGCTGACAGGAGAGATCTGTGTGTACACACAGGTCTCTCTCCTGTCAGCAGGGAGGTGATGCTTTCTATCTCACTGCAAAGCCGAGAGATAGAAAGCAGCACGCCCCCTAGTAAAACAGCACACTGTTAACCCTTTGATCGGCCCAGTTAACCCTTTCCTACCCAGTGTCATTAATACAGTAATTAGTGCTTTTTATTAACACTGATCACTGGATTAGTGTCACTAGAGATGTCAGTGGCAGCTAATCAGTTCCCACCCAGTGTCAGTCAGTGTCAGAATGTATGCCGCAGTCCTGCTATAAGTCGCTGATAGCCGCCATTACTAGTATAAAAATAAATAAATTAAAATTCCAGTATATAAACCACCATGTGTAACCATGCTATAACTTCACATAAACCAATTAATATACGCTTATTGGGATTTATTTTTACCAAAGACATGTAGCAGAATACATGTTGGCCTAAATTTTTGAAGACATTTTTTTTTATTATTTATTTATTTTTTTGGATATGTTTTATAGCAAATAGTCAAAAATATTGTGTGGGCAGAGCCCCGCACAGTCACGCTGTTTTCTAATCTGACAGTACATTAAGCTAAAGGATAAAAATACTGTTTGTTTGCAGGTAAAAAAATGAGCTTTTTTTTTTCTTTTTTCACACTGCAACCTGTAAAGCCTTGCATCTGTGATCAGCAGATTGCGAGTGCAATGCCAGGATCCTGTGGACACAGCTGATCAGAAATTGAGGTAAAGGGACAATCAGGGGTGGACTGACAACTCATGGAGCCCCCCGGGCAATAGGGGATCATGGGGCCCCTGTGTCCTTGCCCAAAGTCAAAAAAGCCTATGAAAAAGGTACCAGGGGCATCTCATGGGGCCCCCTACTGACCCTGGGCCCTTTTGGCAGTGCCCGAGTTTCCAAATGGTCAGTCCGCCCCTGGGGACAATTACAGCGGCCATTTACCATATGATCAACTGTGTCCAGTCACAGCTGATCACATTGTAAACAGACTTGCCGGTTATCCACAGTCCTTTCCTCACATGCTGTCACAGCCAGTAACCAGTAATTTTGACACGTGCATTTACATTGATAACTGCATCCTCATCAGCACACATCAGCAAAGAAGAAACAGAAACTGAGAAAAACCCGCACAGTCTGTCAATTCTGCCTTTAACTGCGGCAGCGCTCCCCATTGGAGTACCAGAGTAAGCGGGGACACCAAGTCCCACCACCTGTGTGACAGCGGACAGTCCCACCTCCAGCACGGTGCCAACCTACAACCAGGCTACCCCTCCTGGCACCAGATCTTCTCCATTGACACCATATGGAGAAGCCACAGCAGGACAAGTGAGAGCTGTCCCACTGCCCCACTCTTGTGACACTGCCCTCCTCCTGTCCCACTTCCCCCCTCTTGTGACGCTGCATCTCACCTGTCCTGCTGCCCCCCTCTTGTGACGCTGCTCCTCACCTGTCTCCCTACTCCTTCCTGTGGTGGTGCTGCCCTCCATCCTTGATGCCGCCCCCCACCTGTGACGCTGCCCTCCCTTTTGTGACGCTGCCCCTCACCTGTCTCCCTACCCCCCACCTGTAATGCTGCCCCCCACCAGTCCCACTGCCCCCTCCTTGCCCACTGCCCTCCCTCCTGTGATGCTGCCCCCCCCAACTGTCTCCTTGTCCTCACCTGTCTCCCTGCTCCCCCTCCTATGACTCTGCCCCCCACTTGTCCCACTGCCCCCAATCTAGCCCAGTGCATTCTCTCTTGTGATGCTGCCCGTCACCTGTCTCCCTTCCCTCCTTCCTGCGGTGCTGCCCCCTTCCTCTAATGCTGCCCCCATCTGTCTCCCTGCTCCCCCTCCTGTGACGCTGCCCCCCTCCTGTCCCACTGCCCTCCTCCTGTGATGCTACCCCCCATCCTGTCCCACTGCTCCTCTTCCTTGATGCTGCCCCCTCCTGTGACGCTGTCCCTTTTGTTCTGTCAGCAACTGTGAAAGGGGACATTTACACTGATTATCAGTGTCCTGATTAGCAGTGCTGCCCCAACAGTGTACCTCAGTGCTGCCAGTCAGTGCCCATCAGTGCAGCTTCATCAGCAAGGAAAACTATTTTTTTTTGTTTGTTTAGCAAAAAATAAAAAACTCAGTGGTGATTAAATACCACCAAAAGAAAGCTCTATCTTCGTTTGGGTACAGTATAGCATGACTGCACAATTGTCATTCAAAATGCGACAGCGCTGAAAGCTGAAAATTGTTCTGGGCAGGAAGGGGGGTGAAAGTGCCCAGCAGGCAAGTGGTTAAAGTGGACTAGTAGAAAAAACAGAATAAGCTGTTGGCACATACCTTTATTTCTAGATCTGCTTCCTCTAGCATTGCCTAGAATGCTGCTAACGTAGCCATGAAAATAACTTTCTCAGCGGGGCCATTTGTAAAATGCAGGTATTCCTCCTATATAACAATATCAAGACCTCTTGATTGGTCACTCAGACACAAAGCATTGCATCATGGGATGGAACAGGGGGTAGTGTCTAAACTCCATTGCAGGGAAATGTAAAAACTAAGGTGACACTGAGATGAAAAGTGGGGGGTACTTTTCCTAAACACACAGGTTTGCCCCAGTGTCTGTTTGCACTTTCCCTTCATAGGCAGGAAGCTTTAAAGTCCTAGGTGAGGAAAGAGAATTTTCAGGTTTCAGCGCACTCACACTTTGAATGACAATTGCGTGGTCATGCTACACTGTACCCAAAATTAAATTCTATAATTTTGTTCACACAACTAGAGCTTTCTTTTGGTGGTATTTAATTACTGCTGGGATTTTTATTTTTTTCTAAATTAACAAAAACGGACAGAAAACTTTGTAAACAAAACCCCACTGTTTTTGTTTCTGTAATAAAAGTTTGCAAATAAATAATTGTTCTTCATAAATTTAGGCCAAGATGTATTCTACTACATGTCTTTGGTGAAAATAACCCAAATCAGTGTATATTATTTAGTCTGTAGGAAAGTTATAGAGTTCACAAACTATGGGATATATCTTAAAATTGATCAATCCTGAAGTACTGACAGCCAATCTAATTTCTTGAGGTCCAAGAATGTCAGAATAGTACAGATATGACCCAAATTACCCCTTTTTGCAAAGTAGACAGTCCAACGTATTTCATAAGAGGCATGGCGAGTTTTTTGAAGTTGTCATTTTTTTGTCATAATTTTTCGGAAAATAAAGAAATTAAAAAAATAATTTTCACAATTTTTTTTTTTACATACTGTCACCAGTGCAGTACAGCGTCATCATATAACTGGTGTGGTGGTGATCAGGGACACTGACTGGTGACAGTACCGAAAAAAAAAAATTTATAATTTATTTTATTATTTTTTTTTATTTTTTATTACGTTTTTCTCTTTTTTTAAGATTTTTTTTTGCATATTACACTATGACCAAAGTAGTATAATGTTACCAAATATTGGAAGTGATCAGTATTTTTTTTTTTTACACAATTTGATTGCTTATAACGAATTATAATGAATTTCTGCACCACTATTTACAAGTAGTCCCTGTGCATTGCACTCTGTTTGATGCTTTGGGTTGGCGGGTAAGCAAGCCCAGATTGCAATCTACTGGTTTGCTGGCCCCCTCAGTAGAGTAAGTGACCGTAGTACAGGGAGTGTGTTACTGGTAGGATCACCAGGTGAAAATAAAATAAACACAGCCTTAAAAAAAAAAAATGAATGCAGCCTCCACGTCTAGGTGTTGATAAGCTGTAAAATATTACATTTTTATTATTGGATTTAGATATGTTTTTTCATTTTTGTGCTCCGGTTTTACATTATAATATGATATTGCAGTTAAAAAGCTAAAGTGCTGCTTCAGTAAGACAACTAGTATTTTCAGAATCCAACAACAGCAGCTTTCATATTTCTCTCATTTCATATTTACCTTCAGGGAAACCTGTTCCAAGAGAAATATTGTACTTGCCATTACCGACCTCTATTTCTGAAAATGCTAGTTGCCTAGCCGGTATGCTGATCTCATGGCTTCAGTATTTCCCAGGTTACCTGTCAGAGCAAGTAAGTATATAAGGAGTTCTGACTTCACTGGCTACATGCGTGTTCTATGTCAGTAACTCAGAAAGTACTGAAGTTAGAGGATCAGGCAAGACTCCCAGGCTTTCTTAAAGTGGTAGTAAATCGCATAGAAAAAAAAGCACTGTAAAACTCAGTAAATTGTTGCAAATCTGTGTTTTTGGACATTTTTTGAGCAAAAACATTTTTTTTGGTATAAAAAATGCTAAAGAATGCAAACGAGGAAAACCATGAAAAAAGTGGCAAAACGCCGCTAAATGCTAATGCAAAAAAGGCTAAAAAAAAACACTGAAAAAAAAATCATGTTTTTAACATGACTTTACACAGCTAATGTTACCAGCATTATTATAACACCCAGTGTGCATGGAGCCTGGCAAATATGAAAGAAAAAATCAGGAAGAGGGCAAATACTTTTTTAAATTTTGTGTAGCTATATTACTTTTCTCTTCACAAATATTTCATGGATGAATCTACATTGTTCAACAAAAAAAATCAAGGTATATAATTTAAAGGCTTTTAAACTCCAAACACAGTATGTGCTTCATAGATAAACTGACAAATAGTGCTTCACACCATGCATAATATCTTTCTGTTGTTTTTATTTTAATAAATGTATACAGCGGTCCAAAATAGCACAATCAGTGTTTCTGTGTTGAATAAAGCTTTAGGCTGAATATAAAATTAGAACAACATTTCCGCTTAGCCACAGTAGATTCTTTAAGAGCTGAAAAAGGTCACAGAAAAAAAACAAAACAATAGATTCTATTAAAATAAACTTATTTGCAGTATTGTAACACTGTAGGGGAGGGTATCTTGATACATTTTAGTAATGTATATGCATATACTGTATATTTGGAACATTAGCAGTAGTGAAACATGACTGACAATATTTACACAGCACTGTGTAAAACAATTATTGTATGACCTTACACAAACCAATGTACTGGTCTGCTGTACACTACTAAATTTGTTAAAGTAGATATGGGGATTTATTGACCAAAATGCATAGTAAATCAGGTCGCTATCCATACCTCCCAACATTTTAAGGTGAGAAAAATAAACCTTTTTAGGCATTGAATGCAACTTCCCATGCCCTCAATTATGCAAACCAAAATTGATATACTAAAAAATGTTGGCTTACCTCAGAATATTTATTTTCCAACATCAATTTTGCTTTAAATATCAATCAAAATAATTAAGTAGTCTGCAAGAGAATCATTTGTCTCCAGACATTATTTCTCCATTCTACCAGAAACTGTACAGTCATCAAATTCACCATATGGGGTACACCAGATTTGTAATATACATTGATTTGTATTTTGATTATTATATATGTTCCCCACCTTTCTATTCAGAAATCACAAACTTCCTAGCTCATCATCCTAATGTTCCTGCTCTTGCAGTGGGAGACTTCAACAGTTTTTTAGATGCAGCACAAATTTTCGTCCGCCTCTTGAGTGAGCACAACTCCACATGGACCATCCTCTTTTTCCAGGTTTCTTGCATAGATGGATTTGCGGGACATATGGCGATTACAAAAATCCATGGTGGCCTTTCTAGAACTGACTTGGGCTTGGTCAATAAGGAAATGCTCTTTCTTTTCACTCCTGCCCATTATAAACCCCGGACCTTTACCGATCATTCCCCATTTTCGGTACAGGTTAGAGTTGCGAGTCCCCCTAAACAAACTTATTGGAAAATAAACCCGATCTGGCTTTCCTTATTTCCAAAACCAGATCCTGTGCCAGCTGCCATAGTTCACTTTCTTACCTCTAACAAAGACACCCAATGGCTGGGCCTATTATGGGACACACCCTAAGGGCATTCCTGAGCAGTCAATTAATTAAAGTTATTTCCTCTATTAAAACCAAAACCAAGTCCTGGGAAACCACTGTTCTACAAAAGGCCTCTAAGGCCGAGGCTACTTTTATAGATAATCCTAATGATCATACTGCTACAGAACGCCTGTCACCCCGATTGGGTGATTCCATCAGAGAACTGCTTCCTCACCACTGGGACACAAGACCAAGGTGTTAGAGCCGGGCATTGCAACCAAGACTAGACGACACTAGCTTAGATGCCAAAACTGGAACTCTTTATTGAACAGAAAACACAGGTTTTTACATACTCCAGAAATAGGGGCAGTCCCCACAATAAAACAAATATAACACATTGAAATAAACATCCCCCAGTGATTAGATAACAAGGTGAAGCTGACATCAGTCTAATCCTATCATGTAGGCACCTCCAGAAGGACTTGCCAGCAGACAAACAATAGGTGACTCATTTACCTCAATTAACAATGGGAATGCACAGCTAGGAGACACACAATGGGAGAAGATAGTAAACACATAACATCTTAATAAACAGATTACATCAGTAATCAGTCCTCAGCATCAGGTTTGTTTTCAACTGATTATATCAACATCTTCTTAGAGTCTCTGAGGCAAGAAAGGAGGGGGGTTGAAGCAATCAATGCTAGTTTGGGCACAAATCTGTCCTGGTCTTCCAGTTCTCAGAGTCTGTGTGTTTTGTGAAGACATAGACTTGAATCCGAAGCAATCTACTCCAAAGTTTCCCCAGGCACCCACCAAAGAATAGAGACCCCTCAGATGCCAGGGCCATGATCAGTAGGCAAGAGGCTAGCCTGCAGTCCCGTCCAAAAGCCCCTGTCCTGGTTGGGTCTGTCACACATACTAAACTGGCTTGGTTACAGGCACAAAATATGGCACAGCAGGTGTCACTAACAAAAGATGAAAAGAAATGGTTTTTCTATCACAAACATTTTTTGAGGAGGGAGAAGGTACAGATCATATGCTAGCTATGATGGTAAAAGCTCACAGAACTTCCATGTTTATATCTGCAATTGCTACACCCATAGGTAATATAACAACATCTCATGCTGATATACTGCTGGCTTGTACTCCTCAAATGCTTCTCCCACCATGGCAGAAATTCACAAATTCCTTTTGGAATGTTGGCTTCCTCAGCTGAATTCTTTTGACAGAGGATTGTTT